GAGGGATGTGGACAACATGGAGAGGGTCCAGAGGAGGGCCACTCGCATGATCGGGGGCAACAGGGCAGGCCCTACAAGGGGAGGCTACGAGACCTGAACCTATTCAGCCTCCACAAGAGAAGGCTGAGAGGGGATCTGGTGGCTGTCTACAAACTGACCAGGAGGCAGTGGGAGAGTTCCTGTTCCCCCAAGCACTACCAGGAGTAACGAGGAATAACAGCTGTAAGTTGATGGAGAGTAGATTCAGGCTAGATATCAGGGCGGCTAGGATCTGCAACCAACTTCCAAGGGAAGTGGTGCTTGCTCCTACCCTGGAGGTCTTCAAAAGGAGGCTAGATAAACATGTAGCCAGGGTCATTTTACCCCTGCATTCTTTCCTGCCCATGGCAGGGGGTCAGACTTGATCTGCTCAGGTCCCTTCTGACCCTACCAACTATAAAACGATGAAACTAAGCTAGCCCTGCACAAACTAGCTTGATAACCAGAAGCAATTGAGACGTGTTCATGGCGAGCCTGGGTAATCTCTGACAGAACTGAAGAACCACTGGCAGATAACAGCTCCTGACACAGTCTCAATACACCATAAAGACCTTAAGTAGCCTTATTCTGTTCTTGTTCCAGGAGGTAAAGAAAAAAAAGTTTTACTTTAATAGCATCTTATTTCTACCTTCTCTCAGTCTTTCACATAGATGTTGTAATATCCCTCAAAAATGCTCTATGTTCCCCTTATTCAGCTTCACCTCCACAGCTAATTATTCTGTGTAGAGGTGCACTGATATATCAGTGGCATATCTAATCAGCACCAATAAAAGGAAAATTAACATTATCAGCAACTGCCCTTTTCTGGCCAGTGTAGCTGATGTCACCAATAAATGCCATGTGCATGAGTGCAGCCACAGCATGCACTGGCCAGGAGTGCAGCCCTGCAACTTGGAGAGCAGTTTTCTGCCAGTAAATCTGTGGAGGGGAAGGAACAGATCAAAGCCCCCACAGTGAAGGAAGGAGTGGGGCAGGGGCAGACACTGCCCAACAAAGGCAGTGAATGCAACTCAGAATCATAGAAGTAGGGTCGGAAGGGACCTTGTAGATCTTCAGGTCCGACCCCCCGCCTGGGTAGTCATCAAGCCTCTTCTTAAAGATCCCCACGGTAGGAGCCAGCACCACTTACCTAGGAAGTTGGTTCCAGCTCCTAGCCGCCCTGTGAAGTAGTTCTTACAGATGTCTAATCTAAACCTACTCTCTAATAATTTGTGTCCACTGTTCCTTGTCATGCCAAGGGGCGCTAGGGGAAACTGTCTCCCCTAAACCCTTCTGGTCCCCCCTAGTGAGTTTATAGACAGTCACCAGGTCCCCCCT